CCGCGGGCGGGGGACCAAGACGCGCCGCGGTCCCGCGCCCGGGTCCTCCGCGGCTTTGCTCCGTGTCTCCCTGGTCTGCTGGTCTCCAGCAGACCAGGGAGATGCGGAGCAAAGCCGTAGAGCACACGGGCAGCGGGACAGCCCAGACGCGACGCGCCCGCGTGGAACGAGGTGTACCGGTAGTTCGGAATAGGAAGCTTAATCCGAACTACCTAGTTCGTGCCGCGTGTAGCCGCGGGCACGGAGTCCGAACTAGCGGACATTTTAAAATGGCGGCACCCGGCAATATGCAAATGAAGCACGGGAAATTCAAATCCCGGGCTTCATTTGCAACTCCGGTTGCCTACATTAACCACCCTAGTTCGAACTAGCGTGGTAGTGTAGACATACCCTCTTTGAGTCATTGCTTAAGTACTGACAATAATTTTTTTCTATTGTTATTAATTGTATTCTGATTTCTTGTTCCCTCACCCTTTCCTCTCCCAGTTGTTACTAAATCACCAGGATGCATTTCAGGCTGGGAGCCTTTATCCTGATGCCTTTTATCCTTCTGTCTGCAGGAATGGTAAGAAGAAAGTTCAATATATTAGAGCTATAGTTAAGATAGCCTGGCTGCATGGTTACTTGAAATTTTGTGCTTCTCTGGAACTCCAGGTTGGGTTAATAATCCAAAGGGTTCTTTCTCTGAAAAAGAAACAAACCCACAACCAAAACAAAACAGCTTTTCTTAAACTTGACAAATTATACAGGTTGCATCTCCCTAAATTGGAACTCCCTGGTTCGTCAATATCCTGTTCCTGGGTCAGAGAGCATGGGTAGTTAGGCAGCAGGAGGGCCTGCTGGGCTGGGAGGGCTGGCAGCATGGTTGGCAGCAGCCTGGTAGAAGAGCCGGGGCCACTGCACTCCAGCAGGCACAGGGGCCCAGAAATGGCGCCGGTGGCAGGCTGGGGGTGGGAGGATGGTGGCAAGGGACCTCCCCTCTTGTGGCAAATTCCTTCATTTGGTACTGGACAGGTCCTGGACCAAAGAAGTCCAACTGTACTAACTTTTTGGGCACACTTATCTTTTAAACTTCTGTTGGCTTAATGGGACAGGAAGGGGAGGGTGAAGAGGAAATAGAGGCATAGGTGAGGGGAGAGATACAGACCAGTCGTCTTCTAGGTCAGGGGTCAGCAATCTTTTCAAACCGAAGAGCCAAACTATATCAAAATTCAGAACAAGTGATCAACGAAGGGTCAGTATAAGAATGCCCATTTGCATGGCTGAAAATATACAACTTAATATGCTTGATATTTGACATGATGATTAATAATAGCATAAATGAAACATACAGACTTTATTTAATGGGACTTCTGCTGCTGCTGGGGGTGCAGTTGTGGATGGGGCGGGTGCAGGAGTCAGGGATGGAGTCAGGGCCGGCCCACAACGTTTTGGCACCTGAGGCGGGGAGCTCAAATGACATCCCCATGCTTCCTTTTCTCCTGTCTACCTGTTACGTCTCTTGTGCCCTCCTTCCTCCAGCACAGCACTCCACCATCTCTGTGCATCTAGAGCAGAGAGAATACATATGCACCAGCATCAGGCACAATTTTCTACACTCTGGGTCCTAATCTTCCCCTCCTCCCCTCCCCCACACAGTTTGGCACCTGAGGTGGCCGCCTCAGTTCGCCTCATGGTAAGACCAACCCTGGATAGAGTGTATGAAGGGCTCAGGGCAGAGGGCTGGAGTGTGGGAGGTGCAGAAGGAAGGGCAGGATGTTGGAGTGGGAAGTAGAGTGTGTGGGGGGGGGGATGGGGAGGGAGGATCCTGGGGCTGGATTACCTTACTTGCACCTGGGCAGCAGTGGCTGGATGAGGGGCCAGGCCAGGATCACCTTAGTGGGACCGTGGCTTCCCCTTCTACCTGTGCCACAGCAGGAGGGACGCTGCCGCAAGATGGGGGCTGGACCACAGGGCTTGCCCCTGGATTAGGGACGGGAACAGGACCCTGTGGCGGGGCCCCGACTGGGGACTTGTTGGCTTGGTTACAGCGGCCAGAGCCCGGGCTGTCTGAGGCAGCTGGAGCCTGGCGGCTGGGGACAGACTGTGGCAGTCAGAAGGGGGTTGTAGCTGAGCTACCACAGCCAGATGGAGGCATTTGCAGCCACCAGCCCCTCTCACTAACCCAGTTGGGAGCACGCACACATCCTCTCAGAGTGCCCTCTGCTGGCCCTTTAAATGAGCAGAATGTCCCAGTTGGCTCTCGTCGGAGCGCAGCTGGTTCTTACCTGGGTGCACTGCCTTACTTTCACCTCTGGTTAAAGGTGAAATAGACCAACAACAAAAAAAAAAAAAGAGAGAGAGAGAGAGAGACCACCTTGACATGAGTGATTATCTGTTTTAAAATTTTAAATTAGTTTTTCATTTTAATTTAAAAAGTTGTGTGTATTTTGGAAATGACAATACAGCCATATTTTGTTCTGTATTGAGCCATGTTTGGCTTCAGAGCCATAGATTGATAACTCCTGTCCTAGGTTATGTCTACAAATTACTTCAATATAATTTAGATTGTTCAGAGATATGAATAATCCACACCCCGGAGTAATGTAAAGTACACAGACCAGAGTACTAGAATGGACAGTGATGTGTGGGCTGGAGAACTTCTTTTGCCTGCATGGTGACTGCTTCTTGTGGTGGTGGAATTAAACTGATGGGTGACCTCCCCCTTCCTGGCTTAGAGTATCTTTACCAGAAGGCCTAAAGTGATGCAGCTGCAGTGTAGACTTAGCTTATCCAGTAACTGGGCCCTGTTTGAAATACATTTGTATCTTAATTCTCAGATTCTCTTTTTAGGAGAAATAAAGTCCATATACTAAAATTACTATTACAGTTAGCATTATTGGTATCAATAGCTATGTCTTCCCATTTTTCCTATTCATCTTCCCTTAAAAATGAAAAGAGGAGGCAGTGAAATCATCCAGGATACCCTGTCCACTTTATTAGGCTCAGTATTTAACATATATTTTTAAGAAAACCATGTTCTTTAAATCCATTTTCTTTTCAAAGTCTAGAAAAACTATTTGCTCTCTTTCTTCCACAAAAAAGAGCTTCACTTGGATAGAATTCAAAGATATGCTACTTGGCATTTTAAAATTAACTCCAAGAGCATTACATAGTTACACAGAGTTTGCTATCCTAGCTCAGTATCAGCTGAGAATTGTCCAAGTCCAAGCAAGGCCAGAGGTTGGTACTTCAGATGAAGACCTAATCTCCCCACACATACTGATAATATACCATATGGCGGTGTCTACACTGGAGCGATCATGCGCAAAAGTGGCTGCTCTTGAGCAAAAACTTGCTGCCTGTCTACACTGGCCGCGTGTTCTTGCTCAAGTAACCTGACGTTCTACTGTATGAAATCAGTGCTTCTTGCGCCAGAACTCTGATGCTCCTGCTCCGGAATAAGCCCCTTTGCACAACTGTTCTTGCGCAAGAGACCAGTGTAGACAGGCAACATGAATTTCTTGCGCAAGAAAGCCCTATGGTTAAAATGGCCATTAGAGTTTTCTTGCGCAAGAGAGCGTCTACATTGGCATGGATGCTCTTGCGCAAAAACACATCTTTTGCGCAAAAGCACATGCCAGTGTAGATGCTTTCTTCTGGAAGAGTTTTTGCAGAAGAACTCTTCCGCAAAAAAGTTCTTGTGCAAGAACCTGCCAGTGTAGACGTAGCCATAATATTAGTTTTGCAATCTTGTACACATAGATGATGACAGTTTTCTTCCAGACCTCTATGATAGTAAGCTTGTGCTGGAGTATGGGATTTTGATTTGCTTGGATTCCTCACCAGCCTGTCATCAAAAATCTGATGCATTCATATGGTCACCAGCTTCTCCCTTCACTCTGCTAGACTTCTCCCTTTCAGGTGTAATATACTTTTCTGTGTCTCATCTACTTACAATCCATGAGGGCAGAGGGGGGTTTGGAATGAGGTTACCACATCTTACATGAAAAAATACAGCAGGTAAATCTAGTATTGGTTTTGACATTTAAAATATGCACAAATGCTTTTCAGTGACTTGGTATAATAAAATATTTCAAAAGTAACATTCTTTGAACATGCTACTAAGCAGAAATCTAACCTGTGGAACAAATCATACTGAGGTATAATTATGTCTTATGATGTTGCAGGCAGATTCCATCATGTTTCTGAAGATACTCACTGGGCACCATTTCTTACCGCTTCTGTCCATTACATCAGAAAGAATTACCCTCAGCCTTGGGAGGAGGTAGGAAAAGCCCTTGCATTTGCATGGGCTTTTTAAAGCTTCTTCCAACCATCTTTCACACCTAAACAGTATTGCCAACTTCAAGAGATCAAAAATCGTGAGTTAGACACCCCCAAAATCTCAATTTTTTTTAAAAAAAAGATGATACTGAGTTTTTTTTAGGACTGACTCTTGGTATTTGAATTCTCCTGCCCATTGCCAGGGTTTGTGCATGTGACAGTGTTGCCCACTCTAACATATGTACTAGATAAGATGATTTTTGGCTCCTGCTGCAACTACTCTCACCCCCATATCTGCCTGTCTCCTGCCCAGCAGTCAATCCTATCCTCCCCCCCATCTGTTCTGTCACCACCACACCATCGGTTCAGCCCCTCTACGGCATTAACCCCCACCACCCTCAGTTCTCTTTCCCAGCACTTACCTTATCCATACAGCTCCCACTCTCCTCACTTCAGGCCCCCTGCAGCCTCCAAGCCGTAGTTCAACCTTTCCAGCCTCACCCCTGTTCTTCTTAGAGTTCCCCCCTTCCTTGGCCTATCAAGGCTATAGTGGGGTCCTCTCTCCTACTTCCCAGGCTTTCAGAGAGCCCATCTGTCCAGGGCTGACAGTGATCTCTAAGTAAAATCAAGCATCATTTATGATCTTGGGGGGGTGGACTCTTAAATATCAGCTGAAAAAAACAAACCAACATGACGTTTTGAAAGTGCTATTCTGAGATCATCAGTGAGAATTAACTTAAATTGTATCTCTTGCAAAAAATTTGTGGGAATTTGCTTGTCTCCCTAAAAATTTTTGAGATAGACATTTTGTCTTTCAACTCATAGGAAGCAAAAATGTCTACATTTTTTTAAAAATTAAAATCTGCTGCTGTCAGGTTGATTTTTTTTTTCTTATGTACACTTTAAATGGGTTGGTTTCTAATGGAATGCTCACATAGGACAACATTTTCAAAGCGATTAATGGGTACCCAACTTGATTTTTCATAACGTGTTCAGTGCCTTTGAAAATCCAGCCCCCTTGTAAGGCACCCAAAAACACTATTCACTTTTGAAGATCTTGACCATAGCTCTTATTTGCCTTTGGATTTTGTGCGGTACATGCACTACATGGGGGTGGACTTGATAGTCACAGGTGAAAACGAGTTTGAAGATCATATCCATGCCCCCTGGAGAATTTGCCAGTTTTGTTGAATTTTGCCAGCCGTTGCTCAAAAATCCAATAACTGCAACAGCAATTCAGGGCATTTTATAGGTCAGCTCTGAAGTGCATTCCTATACCAGGGAGGTTTAAGAAAAGCTTGTGTACAGGCTGCCTGAATTTTCTCTGGCTCTGGACTGTAACTTTCATGAGCAGTAGAATCATTGAGGGGAAAAGTGTGAGTTTCATATTTTAAAAAAATATTTACAAGCAATCATGGTTTAATGATTAGACCAACCTTTGAAGAATCTCAATAGGCACTCCTGAGCAATGTGTTCACAAATAACTTCCCTACTTTTTTGCCTGTGAAAGCTTGAAAGAAATTTCTAATTAGACATAAGGTGGGACTTTCTAATAAGACATAGAAGGGGGTATTACTATCCCAAAACAACAAAGGAATCCCTCTGAAATTATTCAGGGCTTTATTCTACTACCTTTATGTTGAGCTGTATTTGCCCAGGTACTCCATTGTTGTCTCCTTGAGGCTACTAGCATAAGTATGGCAAGGTGGACTCAGTCTTGAAAGATGCTGAGTGCTCTGTCCCAGATCCACCATAGCTCTGATATGCTTAACTCAAAGCAGATGAGTAGGCCTACTGATATCAGTAAAATCAAACATAACTCCATAGTCTTGGATCTAATGCAGTGCTTAATGTTAGAGTCATGCAATTAAATGCCATGATGGATCAGGAGCAAAGAGGATCCTCAAAGGTATGTAGGCTCCTAACCTCCACTGAAAATTGAACCCTTAGTGAGTAACGTCTTCTGAATTGTATCCTTATGTAGTACACAGAACAGAAGAAATGCTAATCACCTTTTTAAAGACTGTGGGGCTGTATTAAAGTAAATGGGCATTACTATGTGCATATTGTTGTTGTTTAGGCTACAGAGAAACTAGTGGCTTTCCTCTTTGGAATTGCCTCACATATGGTGGCAGATGTGAGCTGGCATAGCTTGGGCATTGATCAAGGATTTCTAAGAACCATGGCAGCCGTAAGTGTGCATCATTTTGTTGGTTAATCATACCTGTAGATACTGGTATTGTTAATTTTTTATTTACAAATAGCCTTTTAACCCAGGGGGAAAAAATTAGTTCTCTGACGGAAAAAATTAAGCACATATGCTTAACTTCATACACTGATTTGGCAAACATTTTTTAGAACAACATTGGCCACATTTTGGGACGATCAACATTAGTGTAACTTTAAATGTGCTTTTCTGTTTGTGCTGATGGATGAGCAAAATTGGATTTTTATCGTTTGTTTTCTACATGTTGGTTTTTTTTTTTCATTTTTCGCAGATTGATTTCCATGGCTCATACTCAGAAGCTCATAGTACTGGGGATTTTGGTAACTTTTATATTTGTTGATATGAACCAATAAGGTCCCAGTCCCTATGGCTACGTCTACGCTACAATGCTATTTTGGGATACTGGAGTATCCCAAAATAGCTATCCTGCATCTTCACAGTGAGCCCATTATTTCAGGCTTGCTATTCCACGAGGAGTAAGGGATGTTTCGGAATAGCAGGTTATTTCAAAATTACGAAATAAGCTATTTTGAAATAAAATCGAAATAAGATACACAATTTGCATACCTCAATTTGCATCTCTTATTTTGAAGTACGGTGCAGTGTAGACTTAGCCTATGTCAATACCAGCCTAGTGTTCCGCCAAATTTTGAGGCTGATTATCCTCCATGTGTGTTCATCTGATGATGAATAGAAGTCAGAAAAGAGCCGAAAGACCCCATATCCTGCCTCCCTTCCACCACCCCACAAACCCTGGTGTAGGACCCATGCGGATGATGGCTGGGAAGGGTGATTGCTAAACTGTTAAGCACTATGTAGATTCTGGACAGTGGAACCATTTTAAATTACTGTAAAATCTCAAGTATAATGCGCACCTATGCATAATGTGCACTTACCTTTTAAACATCAGAAACCCTGAATAAACTGAACTCTTATCTATAGCGCGCACCCCAACTTTGCCATATTTTGTCTTGCCTTTTTGTATTGCCGGGTAATCATGCATGAGCGCACAAGTATATAGTGCGCGGTGTTCCATGCTCTCTTTGGGATGCCATGAGTTGTTGGCGATCTTACACGACCGCTGAAAAACTGAAAGTTGTTAACTATGCTGAGGCTCATGGCAACAGAGCTGCCAGCCGTGAATATGATGACATAGCAGAGTCTAACATTTGGCTTTGGAGACGGCAGAAAGAGCGCCTGCAAGCACTGCCTAGGATGAAGATGGCTGAGCGAGGTAAAAACGCTGCATATCCTGAGTTGGAGGCCAAGCTGGTTGAATGGATTACTGAGTGTAGACAGCAAGGCGGTGGTGTTAGCATTGCTGAGGTTAGAATGAAGGCTTTGATCATTGCCAAAACGTGCGCTAACACAGCCAGGTTTAAAGCTTCATATCTGGGTGGGGCATGCGGGAAGGGGCCCCACAGCCCGGTGCATGAGCTCAGCCCGGTGCATGAGCTCAGCCCAGTGCATGAGCAGCTAGGCAGGGTTTCAAACTCTGCTGCCGGCTCTCCTGTGCTGCGCGCGCTTTTCCCGGGTGAGCCTGCAGGTGGGAGCGGGACCGTAAAATCATGAGTATAATGGGGGTGTGCATTATAGATAAGAGCTCAGTTTATTTCAGAATTCTGACATTTAAAAGGTAGGTGTGCATTATACTCGAGATTTTACGGTAAGGCAGCGCCACTTCTCCCTCCTAACCATTCCCCCATATCATTTGAGCTCCCCTTGGCAACAGATTCTGGATGGCCAGATTGTATGTAGAATCACCTTTGCCCTCCCACTCCAGAGCTGCAGCTAGCTGCTCTTCATCTCTCAGAACACAAGACTGAAGCTGGTCATTTATGCTTAAAGCCAAAATCTAAGCAGGATTTCAGAGTTAAACAATCAGTACTCTGGCTTTAAAGGTGATAATGCTTTTATCATGTTCTGCAACTGCAGAATGTTCATCCTCTCTCGTGGTCTCTCTTGTATGTGTACCAGCAACATATTCCAAGTCAGAAATACCTATTTATTTAAAATGGAACTCTACAATGTTAACACACACAGTAGTCTCATGGAATACTGCAGAGGCCTAGTGATTTATACCTTTTAAAAAATTTGATGCTTTGTGCTAATATGGTAAAACTGCCTTTTTCCCTTTCTCTAAATGTAGGAGGTGACGTATTGAGCCAGTTTGAGCTTGATTTTAGTTACCTGAAAACAGATTGGTATGAGCAATGTGTTTATGCTGTCAATGTTTTGCAGAAATACTTTCATTAATTTTTGCTGCACATGTAACATGTAGTGTAGATGCTAATTTCAGGATGGTGTTATAAAATAATATTTATTTGAATTTTTGTAGCAGCAAGAGTGCTGAGATCAGAAAATCATTTTGCTAGATGGAATACATATGCAAAATGAGAGACAGACCCTGCCTTGACCAGCAGATACAGGGTTAAGTTGTACTATCCCCATGTTATATATGAGAACTGATGCACAGAGATGAAGATATTCACACTGGTTACATAGGAAATCAACTAAAAAAATTCAGATTTAAAAAAAATAGCTTGCTGGAATGTCCTAGCAGTTCTTTATATAACTCTGTGGCAGTATCTTTATATGGGATACCTCTTCTTAGTCTAGCTATTTTTGGTGTTTTTATGCAAATTTGTACTATTTATTTTTAGACATAAATGGTTGTGATTGTGAGTATAAATACTTTATGTAATAAAACATATGTAATACACCATAAACTAGTAGTCCCTTTTGGTTATTTTATGTCCCATAAATTGAATACTGTATCACTAAGACAAGATTTGAAATTAACATCAAATGGATACTTGCTTCAATTAAACCCCAACATTGTGAATTAAGAGTAATACATCATCATTAGGTACATTTTAAAACAGTTGAAGATATTTTCTCATAACTGACAATTTTCAGATACAGTATTCTTTAACAATAAAATTGAAGCATTGGTAATGTTTCATTTTGTGTGACTAGAGTGAAGTTCATCCCAGTGCGGAAGGTCCTTGTCTCATAGGTGTAAATCCTGTATAGGTGTGTGTTGGAGGTGGAGTAGGAACAATTGTGCTGGTTACGAATAGGCTGATTCCAAAAGGGAGAGGCTGGGGACAGATCAGAGGAGAGGACACAATCCAAGATTAGGCAGATCTACAAGCCAAGAATCCTATGGAGGGAATTATATAAAATGAATTGTGTTTTATTAGATTTAATGAAAAATACTAGTTATAATACTCAGTATTGTTTTTAGGTATGTACCAGTCAAAGACCTGCTAGCTATCTATAAGGAATATTATGGCCAGGAAGTCATAACTGAAGGCACAATTATTGACTGCACTTACCTGCTGTTTCTTGAATTGTAAGTCATTGAGTTGTGAACTTCTCGTTTCACAGAACATATGGGGAAAATTGCAGTAACTCTCAGATGAAACATCTGAACCTGCATTGCTATATTAGAGATAAGCCAAACTCCAATTTCTCTCTGAAACATCACTGAGCTTTGGGGAAATTTGGAATGAAATTGTTATCTGTACCCAAGTTTTCTCTGTATCCAGTTGTTACATTTTATAAATAGATGAATACAATAGCTAGGCTGTATGCCTTAACACAAACAAGCCTGTATCGCAGGGCTGTGTCTAAACTACGTCCCTTTTTCGATAAAGGGATGTAGATTAGGTATGTCGATATTGCAAATGAAGCTGGAATTTAAATATCCCACGCTTCATTTGCATAATGGTGGCTGCTACTTTTTTTCTAAACGGGGCTTTTTTTAAACCCCCTCTCCCCCAGCATTTTAGATGGGGCATTTTTGATAGAAATGCCTTGTTTTGAAAGAGTCTGTACTCCTGTACCCCTTTCGAAATGGGGCACTTCTGTCGAAAATGCCCTGTCCAAACTGCCGTGGTGTTTTTTTTTTTTTTTTTAAAGCCCCGTTTAGGAAAAAAAGCGGCAGCCGCCATATTTAAATCCCAGCTTCATTTGCAATATTGACGTGCCTAATCTATATCCCTTTATCAAAAAAGGGATGTAGTTTAGACACAGCCCAAGATAATAGCAGTGCTTGGAAGCATGACCATGTTATAGCACATCAGCAGTAAAACTCTGACCTTCAATGAAGAGTGCAATATAGATGCATAGCTGTAGCTATCTCACTTGCCCACAGACATTTACACCCATGCAGGCACTTCCAGAATACTGCTGGTCTGAAGGATAGTTAGGGAGGTTTTTCCTCTTAGCTAAGAGAACCTAAACTGTGGTCATGACTACTTTATAATATCTTAAGGCTCATAGCCATGTTCATTAATTCAGTTATTTACTGATAGGCTATATCTATACTACACACCGGTAGTGGCAACATATAGAGTATATGTAGCTTACATGCCACAGTGAAAAGCAAGCAGCAAGTCGCTACGTGTGTCAGCAAAGGGCTTTAGCAGTGAAGAAAGGTTTCAGCAGCTCTCTTCTGCCAGAGGCTTGCACTGCAGTGAGCTAAGGCTCTTGTGGGGAAAGACTGAGCTTGGTGCTGCTGTGTCTTTCCCCACAGCCTCCTCCCACCATGGACTTTCCCCATTGATAATCTTTTTCCTGAAGCGGGGAAAGATGTTAGCTATGGGGAGGCAGCAGCACAGTATATTGCTAAAAATGGCAGTGTAGCTGGGGAGGCAATGCCTTGGCAAGTAGAGAGCCAGGTAAGGTATGTATTTGGGTACCTGCCCACATGCTTCAAGTAGCTCTTGTCTTTATTGGTTTAAAGAATGCCTCACCCCACACACTGCTATGTATTCCTGTGCTGCCGGCAGTATAGGTGTACCTATCGTTGTGCTGAGATGCAGAGCAATGTAGAAAGCACACATATCATACCATAAAGAGCCCTATGTCTGGTGTTACATGTCTTGTTATGGTATAGTAACAAACAAGGAACTCTCTCAACGTTACCGTCCTCAATGTCTGCTAAGTACTGGGCTATTATGTAGAGACCACAGAGGCTTTGAAATAGGTTATTTTATATTATTTGTCCTTGATGCACATTTATCTGAAGATTATTTTTTGCAGGTATGGAGAAATTCTTGCTGTTGCCAAGGTAACTTATTTTTGTTCTTGTTAACAACTAGATACAAATTAATGTTAAGATAAACTGAACCATTCTACTAATTGTACTCCATTTTGTTCTGTAGCTTTTTCCAACATATGCTAACAAGTCTCCGTTTTTGGTGGAGCGATTCCATGAGTATTTTCTTGGAGGAGTGGATGACATGGCATTTTGGTCAAATAATATTTTTCAGCTAGTAGGCAACATGTTGGAAAATGGAACCAGGTAAGATATTATTTTATGTACTAGGATGAACCTCTTACAAGTCTACAGTAAAATTACCTTTGATATATTTAAGTTATGAAATCTGTTTACATGTTCTCCAGGAAGCAGGCTCTATCCCAGAATTGGAGCCTGAAACTGAACACCTTACTTACTCAGAATTTGATGAGACTAGGCCCTGGTCTACACTAGGGCTTTATTTCAAAATAATCCCCCCTTAGGTTGAATTAATAAGCAGAACATCTACACTACCAAGCCTGTTATTTCAAAATAACAAGCTGCTTATTTGAAATCTGAAATTCTACTTTCCTTGAGGAATAATGCCATTTTCGATATAGTTATTTCAAAATAGTGGTAGTGTGGATGCCCTGGTGCCACTTTTTTGAAATTACTACTCTCCAGAGTAATTCAAACTAATTACCCCAGTGCTTCCTGGGGCTCTTAAATCGAGGTAGTGCATCCACACTAACGGAGCCTGCCTTGGACAAATTTCGGGGCTTCCTCATAGTGAGGACATACTGTTTTGAGTTTGTTATTTTGGGAGTTATTAAATCAATTTTAGTTATTTCAAAATAGTTTCCTAGTGTAGACATGCCCTAAGGGTCCAATCCAAATCCCAGTGAATAATCTACTGAGTTCATAGAGAGTTAAAATGAGTCATAATTGTCTGAATTGAAAGTGCAGGTTTATACTTAGCTCGTATTATTTTTATAAAAAAATGTTATCACTATATCACTTAAGTAAAAATTTCACCTTTGCCCAGATTGCTTCACAACCCCATCTATGAAGGGCAAATCTAAAGCAATTATATTGTTAGTTTATGTATTGGAAAGTAGCTTTGGAAATATTGTACCATACAAACTTTGTGTTGTGTGTTCCAAAAATGTCACTTTAATTAAAAGCACTTTATCTTATAAGGATTAGCAGGTTATTAGTGCCAAAATAAGTTGTTACATAAACACAAAACATTCTTCTGGATTCTAAATAATTCATCAATAATTTTAGAAAAATAAAGGAATTTCTAAGGCAGGGCTACTCAACGTGGGGCCTGTGGTCTGTTCGTTTGCAGCCTATGGTGTGGTTTGGGTTTATGTGGGGCTCAACACGCCTACGGGTGAGATCATTTGAAAATGGTCTCTACTAGGAACACGGTCCACAGCGTCAAGATGTCTCCCAGGCAGGGTGAGCATTGAAAGACACAAGTGGATGTGTTGGCATTTCTAGACCACAGGGAAGAGGTGCTGGGAGCGCCGGGGCATTGTGGGAAGTGTTTTGTATTCATGCCCGTCAGTGTGAAAGAAGCTATTTGCATATATTTCCACATATATTTGCATGTATATGCAACCACACTTAAGTTGCAGCCCTCAGCATGTGCTGTATCATTGTGGCCCCTGGGGCTTCCAAGGTTGAGTAGCCCTGTTCTAAGAATGTAATGATACTTTAATTTTGAATTACAAGCAGGGACCTACTGAGGGAGATGACCTCACATCCCAGATTTTCATTTGATTTAACTTTCATTAGAATAAATATTCAAAAGAAAAACTGTGTTTTCAATATTTCTCCAGTGGCTGCTTCATACCTGAGAACCCTCTGTTCATAGAGTGCAATGGAGAACATAAGAACAGTGACATGTGAGTATAATCCTGAAAGCTGCAAAGATTTACCTCTGAAGGAAGACACATCCATGAGTGTGGAAATCCAATTACAGTAAAACTCCGATGGTCCGGCATCTGATGATCCGGCACTCCTGATGGTCCGGCACCATCAGGAACCCGGAAGTGCTCCGGGCAGCCGGACCATTGGAGCTGCTCTGCCCCCAGGTTCCCTGATTCAGCCACTGCTAAAACTGACAAGCGGCTGAATCGGAGACGCCTAGGGGAGAGCAGCTGGGGGGATGCCGGGCTGGTCCAGTAGCGCCGACCCTTGAGGCGGCGAGACCCACCCTGCAGCACCCCAG